ACGACCGTGTGTGTGGGTGTGTGTGTGTGTGTGTGTGTGTCGGTCTTTAGTCGAGTGTGGGTGTATGTGCACTCGAAAAATATAAATTGTAATAAATTTATCATCTAAAATTAATATAAATCAATCAGTTTTTAAAAGGGTGTTAAGAAGCATAAAATAGTTTAAAGATGTGTATTCTTAAGAATGATATAAACTTTTCCAAAATAAAATAACGATTTCTATATTAATAACTAATGTTTATAAAACGCTCATTAATTTGTTCGACTTGGAATGTGTGTGTGTCTGACTTATAAAATTATTACTGGGCATAAACTTGACTGAAACCAATTTTGTTCTTATCTAATTGCTTGCGTGAGTTTCTTATCAGCTTGAAAAGTAGCTAAACTTGCTTTTTGTTGTTTCTAGATATTTGTTATCTTGAAAATAAATCGTGTGGGGAGGAAATGATTTTATTGTTTTCTTTAACTAATAAAGGGAAAACCACCATTGAAACGTAACATTTAAAAAAAAAAATATTTTTGTTAAAATAAAACAGAAAATTCTTAAGAGTACAACGTAGATTAAAGAATAATATTGCTCTTAGTTATTTTTCTTAGTGCATCTGTGTATCGTGGCAGTCGATGTCCTGTGCTTCCATTCGCTTGATTATGGCCTGCAGATACCACAACCCATCGTCGCCCTTTCCCCGGCGATCAGGCGCCTCCCCCCCTCTTCGCCACAGCCCTTTACATTGCAGTTGCATTAGGCGCTGACGTCACATTCCCCACGCTCCTCCCCTTCGCTCCCCACTGCTCCCCCTTCCTCATCCAACCAGCGGTGCGGAGTGCAACATTTCGATTTGCGCCATCATCGTGGGCATCGTGTCCTTTGTCCCGGCGTGCCTAATCATTGACACATTCATTGATGCATCCGAGCGCATTCTGGCATATTTACGAGCCGTCCTAATTGTCCCCAAGCAGATGCCTCCCCTTATCGCCCCGCAGCCATTGGAGCCCAAATGACTTCCACCCTTCGTTCTGTTTCTTTCATTTTGGCGGTCTCCCCTAATTGGGCATAATTAATTATTTCGTTTAGAATTGAAAAATGCATATGAAAAGTAAGTATTTGTTGGTTTCGAAAGCACATACATATGTATATTATATTTTTAATAAGATAAATAAATCTTTTTTATATTGTAGATACATAGTATGGGCTATATACAATAACCCACAATATAAATATATGTATATATTGCAGTCCGTTCAAAAAATAAAAAATTCAATTGAAATGCTAACGAAGAAAAAAAATCAAGTGCGCTTATACGAGTAAAATGATTTTTAATGGCTAATAATTATAATCGTTTTGGATTTGTCAGTACTTGAAATGTTAGCTATCCTGCTTGAATATTGTAATAATATAGGTATGCTAAGTGCACTTATGCATAAATTTGATTTTCAATATATAATATTTCAAAATTGAATTCAATTATACCGTTCGACGAAGGAATTTGTTAAATTTGTTTTAAATTTAAGGAGCTAACAAATGTTGCGGAAGCTCAGCGATTCAGAAAGTGGATAAGGCTTCTGGCACAAAACTGCGGGTGCACTTTTCCACAGCAAACAAGGCTAAGACTCAGAAACAACAAAAGAGCCTAACAACAACAAGCAACAAAGAAGAAGATTAAGCTTTTGGTCCCCATAAACAATAAACTTTTCCACACCCACATGGGAGGATGAAACTAATTTGCAAGAACATTGAAAATCCTTTAAGATTGCTGCACTTTGCCAGACAAAGAGTGCAAATACTGAAATGGTTTTTTGGAAAGTTCTTTAGAGTGATAGATCTAGAAATAAATATCAAGATATGATTTAGATAAGGTAGCTCTACTTTTTCCTAAGTTTAAGTATTAATTCTAATACAAAAGGTTAAAAAATACGTTTTCAATTGATTATGGCAAAATGAACTATTTTGTATTTTTTATGATTTATGATTTTATTTAAAACTTCTGTTTCAAAGTAACCCCTTTTTTTGGTTTTTATAATTATGTATATTTTTGGTATATTAATTTATGATATTTTTAGTTTTCAAGCCGCAAATGGAAACCACTCCCCAACTATTTCGCAAACTAAAAACATAAAACCAAATTGGGGAGGCACTCCTCTTCCCACCTAATGGCTCCCAAGCGAGTGTGTGTATGTGTGTGTTGGTGTTTGGTGGCACTTACCCTCTGACCCCCCTTGAAACCCACTTTAACCCCACCCATGCCCAGCTTCATCAGTGTTCACATTTGCAGCCCCTCGTGCTGTGGAACTGTGCTGCAACTTGTGTGTTGCGCATTTCGACTTAACTGAATTATTAGCCGACTTGTGTGAATTATGATCTCTTAGTGCTGATGCATCAGGCCACACGGCATCGCCTGGCTCGCTCCCCTTCTAGGAAATCCCCTGTCTGCCCCCCTGTGAAATGCACCCCTCCAGCCAACGCCTCTGTTGCACTCTCAGCCACTTTCGTTAATGCATTTGCCCAGTGGCCATGTGGGATTCTCGTTGCTACTGCCATATTTGTTGTTGCTACTCAGGCAATTTTCCAAAAACAATAACAGCAACAACAAATACGCACACACATGCACAGTGGGAAAATGTTTACTTATTATCTATTAAGGTTAAATGTTAAGGTTTGTTTGAGGTAAATTCATTTTAATGTCACGTGAAATTCTTTATTTTTAAATTATGAATTTGATAGATGTGTTTAAATACAAAAATAGGTTTGTTTTTATGCGCTTTAATGATATTCTATAGAATAACCCCCTCCATGGATAAACTATATCAAATATTATTAAACATTTTACCCAACTGATTCTCGGTGCAATTGTGGTTATGGGAAATTCAACTGTTGACTGTTCACCTTGCTGTTGCAACTCACACAAAATCCAGAAAGCCGAAGGCTGAGCCAGACAAAAACTTGCTTTCTGAGCCCCCAGATGAATCTTCTTCTCGGTTTGGGGCTAAAGCTTTTGTTATATTTATGCTGTTGTTATTGGTCTTTGCAGTTGTTGTGCGGCATTGCAGGATCCAGATCCCAATGGATCTGGCATACTTCTTTTTTAGCTCTGCATCCCGCAGATTGCAGTATAACTTATCCCCCGAATGCAGGGGAAAACCCCTGAAAAGAATGAGCAGGAAAATTAACTTATGGGGGAAGTCGATGAAAATACTCTTGTGCTCGGTAAGCAAACATCGCCATTAACTTTATTTCAAAAACTTTTTTTAAAGCTCTCTTTTTAGAAATGTATAATTAAAATATTTTCTGGTCTGCTTCCCCCTTTATATATTATTTTATTGCTTTGATTTTATCACTTTAATTTGATCATTTTGATTTGATCACTAAATTTAAGCAATTTTAAAAAGAAGCAACTGAACTTTAGTTAAACCTTGAGTTTTACAATTTTTAATAATGTGTTATTATTTCCATAAATTTTTAATTTTATTTAGTTTCAAGATACAGTAATGCATATCTAAGTGGCACTACTATTCTGTTTATTAGAATAAATGTTTCGAAAAATAGTTTGAACCCGCCTAAGGAGGGCAGTGCCAAATGCTTTTAGGCCCAGACGAACTTTACTTAACCCCGACCTCCATTGTCCTGCAGGCCGTTCCTTTGGCCAAAATCCGTTCTCCAGTTGGTTGAAAATGATTTATGACGCCGGTCGGAGGGATTAGCATATGAGACCAAACAGAGCCTGTTGTCCGTTGTCCACGGTCCGTTGTCCTTCGTCCTTCGTCCTGGCTCCTTGGGTCCACTCCCCGAACGGCTGCTCCGACTAAGCCAGTTTCCGTTTGTTTGCTTAGGCTGGAAAATGGACAAGATTTGGGCTAAAATCGAACCGGAAATGGCTTAAGCAAACATACGCACACACACACAGGCTTACATGTATGTAGCCTAAAGTGTGCAAATCTCAGTGCTCATGTGTGTAAGTAGAAGTGTGTGAGAGTGTGTGTGTGTTGCGACAGGATGGCAAGTTAGGGAATGACCTGCAGTATGCGTAATTAACCTTTGACACGGACGGGTTCGTCTGCCCTTCTCTTTCGCTCCCTCGCTTCCCTCTCCCTTGCTCCTGTCTCACTCCTCCTCTCTCCTTTCCTCCTTTCCTCCCTTCTTCGCTTCTCTCTCCTCTTTCCTCTCTCCTCTCTCCTTCCCTCCTTGCCATATTCATATTTCACTCACCGTTTGGCAATTAGTTCATTGCAGGTGTGTGCTGAAGGGTCGGGCCAAACATCGCCAATTGATCTCTGACCCTTTGGCTCGGATTTTCTCCCTAATTATGTTTTCTTTAATCTCCGCCAGTGTGTGCGTGTGTTTTCCTATGTGCGTGTGTATGTGAGTATGTCCTGCATAATCTCTTTCTAAGCAGATACATGGATATTGGGCGCTTTCAGAACGTAAATGAAAGATAACTATGGCAAGTCTTCAAAATTCATTTTGTGTTCATTACACATGTTAAACTATATGGAACAAGGACTTCATTTTTGATGACCTGAATACGCTTTGAGTGCGATTACATCACATATGTAGTACTTGTCAAATATTACGATTAAGTGGAAGAGAGCTAACATTACAACTAGTACGAGCAAAGTTATCTAAGCTGAAATTGTTTTGGCAGAAACTGAAAGAGATGTTTACCAGGTTTCAGAGGGATTACCGAAAGCCTAACATATTCAATTATAACATGACTTTTACCATATCGCTTAAGATATCTTACTGAGCTAAAGTTAAATTGTTACCCTTACTTTTTCAGATCTGAATGTGAAGTTTAAAATAAAATAGATTTAGTTTTGATTTTAAATCTGAGATAACTTGGAAAATCTATGTAAACTTGTTGAATCTGAATGTTCTTAGGAAGTTAAAAACATTTCTTATGTACAAATATAAACACTAATATTTTCTGGGTCTGATTTATCTGTTTTTAATGCTTAGAAAGTACAATAAAAATAGGGAAAATGGTAGGGAGGTCGACTGGATTTTCAATGATGTCCGTGATCGTGATCGCTGCTCTGTTTGTGGGATTTGTGCCACTTCTTTTTGTGTTCCTCGCCGCCCTTCTTGCCGTGCTCCTTTTTGTGGCCCCACTTCTTGGACTCCTCGTGCTTCTTCTTGTGACCTTTGTGACCCTTCTTCTTGTGGCCCTTTTTGCTGTGACCCTTCTTGCCGTAGTGCTCCTCGTGACCTCCCTTTTTGTGGTGACCTTTCTTGAAGCTGCTCCCCTTCTTGTGCTTCTTGGACTCCTCGAAGCCTCCGTGTTTCTCCTCGCCTCCTTCGTTGTGATCCTCATCGTAGAACTTCTTCTCCTTTTTATTTTCGTCCAGTTTGTGGACGTTGTGCTTTCCCTTGATGGAGTGTCCTTTCTTGTAGGAGCCGTGATCCTCGAACTCGCTGCCCTTCTCGCCCTTGGAGCCCTTCTTCTTCTTCTTGTGATGGGACTCGGAGTGCTTGTGCTTCTTCTCGTGCCCCTCCTCCTCTTCGTGCTCCCCCTTCTTGCCCTCCTTGTCGTGGTGGCCCTTCTCCCCCTTCTCGGAGTGCTCGCCGTGCTTGTGGCCCTTCTTGCTCTTGCCGCCCTTCTTGTGGAAGTGCTCGCTGTGGTGCTCCTCCCCCGACTCCTCCTCCCCGCCCTCCGAGTGCTCCTCGTGCTTCGTGGCGGCCACCAGCTGATCCGACTCCTGAAATGCAATGGAAAATGTTGGAAATCATGAATAGTAAATAATATAAGTCTGTGCTAGTTTGGTTGCAACAAGGCTTACTCATATTCAATATTTCCTTGGTTTTTGAACATGGAAGAGAAGTTGCAACGAAACAAGTAACCAAATGGTAGATTTACTCAATAAACTTTAAACAAAACTAGTCATCTTCAAACTTTAAGCACAAATGTTTTTTAGAAAAATAAATAATAAAATTAAAAATTTTTTAATATTAATCCAATTATTATTAAGAAAGTTCTTATAAATTTTTAATTTAACATTTTTATACGTTTTAAGGAAAAGTTTTCTTTTTTTGTCTAAAATCACTTCTGTATTGACCAAAAAAAATATTGTACTTCCACAGTCTTATGCAAAATATCTTCTGTACAAAATAAAGTCGTTCCGCTAATAAAAAATAAGTTTTTTTCAAATATTTTTCCTAAAGGAAATTTTAGGTATCCCAGAGAAGCTTAAAATATGGTCCAGCAATAGAGGCGATTTGCTTACCTTCTCCTGCTTTTGCTCCTGCTCGAAGTACGGCTTAAAGTCCTCAAAGTCCTGGCCAAGGAGAGCAGCGCTTATGGCCATGGCCCTGTCCGGCGTTGAGTGGAGTGCCAAAGCCCCGGCCAGAAGCCCCAGCAGCGTTATCACTTGCCAAGCCGGCCACATAGCTGATGCCACTGCTGCTCCTTGTTATCCTGGCTCCTTTTCTGGCTCCCTGTCTCCGTAGTCCTTCGATTTTACTCCGTGTTTCTGGTGCGGCAGCCACGCCCGCTTATCGCCGTCTACTGGAATCACCTCGAGCCGCCGGAGCTTTTTATCCACACTCTCCTCAACCTTCTCCACTTTTGCGGCTGATTTGCCAACTCTGCTGCCTCTGATACTTTTTGCACCCCTTTTTATTTGGTCTCGTTTCGGTGTATTGCGTTTGCTGGGAGGTATTAACGAAGTGTATGCTGTACAAGATTTGCTTTACAAACAATAAGTGATATAACTAGGTACTGATAATAGCATCTGTTAGACGAGATATGTTTATACACACTACAAGATTTTATTGCGAAAGTTCTCTTATTTGTTATAATTTTTGATTGGTAAAAAAAATCTTAAAAAAATAACATGTATGTGCCGCTTTCATACACATATTGATTTTATGATACAGCTTATTATAACTTATAAAATTAATAAATAATTAAAAATGTATTTTAATTTTGGCTTGTTTAAACTTATTAAGATTACTTAACTAAAAAGCTGTCAATTAGAAAGGTGTATATAAATATTAAACTTAATATTTTAAATATATTATTAGAATAATTTCCTTTAAGATCAGCAACAAACTTAAAGTTCTGAAATTTGAGTTTTTTGGGTTCTTCAAAAAAATATTAATTGAAAGTTGTATACTTTTAATTTTAATATGCAAATATTGGATTTTAATTTAATATTATAGATACTGTAGTGGGTATTAAATAGTCGCTAAGCCTTACAAAACCATTCTTACTCTTTTTTGCCTTTGGCATTTGGTTTTTGTTTGGTTGTTTTCCAATGTTTCTTTTGTCTTTAAGTGCATAACGTTGTTCCCGACAAAAAACCCCTCGAACTGGCCAACTTCTTGCGGTTTGGGAGCTTTTTCTTGCCACTGTTGGCCAAAACAAGCGACTTTTGTTACGCTGCCCATTGCAAAATCCGCAGCTTGTTGTTGTCATTGGGAATGAAGGGGCCAAAATGCCGAGATCGAATGCCCCAGTGGCACAGTGGGCCCCATTGTCTTCCGATTGGTTGACTTCGACGACACCCGCATGATGAATTCACTACAAGATAACGCCCCCTTCCCCAATTAGCCATCAATCATGGGCATTGCTGTTTGCTCGCTTGATTTTCAACTTAATTAATAATTTATTGGCCACTTGTGAGTGTCTTGTATGCGGTTGATTGATAACAGCAAAAGGGATTTGACCACAACAACAGAGGATGATGGGAGGAAAGGGGACTTTGATAAGAAGGATTTTCAGTCAGCGTTATGGAAATTCAACATGCCACTATATGTATGACTTTTCTGGCCTCCAAGAGGTTAATGGTTTAATTTAACAATTATGACAGGACAACGACATTGATGTGAGGAATGGTTTTGACACTTAGAATTTGGTGTTTGATGGTTTGTATTCACGAATGTAAATCACTTTACCACTTTAAATGGTGTCTTTATTAATTAACTTTTTCATGCTTTAAGTGGCCCTGATTAACCCTTTTCAGATCACCATTTTGCCTTCACTTATCCCCTATTTACTACTTTAATATACTTTCACCTCGAACCCTTATCATTTCTACTAAAGCCTACCTTTGAGCAAAAAAATTTTGTTTCATGATGGTTTTCAACTTTATTTGGTTATAAATTCCTTATTGTTGAGAGTTTTGATCTTGATATTGATAAAATATTTGGTCATCCTACATAATACATAATAATAATAATATAATTTACTATTTTTACATTTTAAAGTTTAACTTGATTTGGTTATAAATTCTTTTCTAGAAGACTTTATTATTAAAACTTGATACTGATGGTTATTTGGTTCCATTTGGTTATTATATTGGTTATTATTTTATACATAAGATTAAATACATTTCAGAAAGGTTCGCCAACTCCAAAATAAATTGCAAATACATACCTCCAGTTTTTTTTTTCTTTTTTTCCGGTTATTTTTTTGACCCACTTTTTGGTGTTCTTAACCATTCCTCGAAGAGGCATATTTCTGGTAGCACGTCCTGACCAATCCCCAAGTCACGTCGACACCTCCTCGTATTTATGCCCCCGATGCGTCGCCATATAAAGTTGCCGCGTTGCGTTATAAATACACGTCTTAAAGTTATTCCTGCTGCTCGCCGCTTTCCCACTCGGCAGCTCTTAATCCTGTTTTTTTTGCAACTCTGTTTATCCATCGCTTTTTGGCCATTTCTCTTGGCTTTTTCCGACGCCTTCTTGGGGGCCCAACCTGGGCGCAGGAAATGCATTTTAAATGTCGGCGGCGGCATAAATAAACCGTTAATGTTAACATCGGGTGCAGGGAAAAAGGGGGGCCGGGGGGCGGTGGGCGTGGCGGGGGATGCGTTGCCTTAATTTATGAGCCGCGGCAACAAGGACAAACGAGGAATTTCATTCGATTTCGCATTTCGATTCCATTCGATTCGATTTGGGCGAGCAGAAATTCCTTCGTGCCCGGTTTTTCGTTGGCAAAAGTTTGACAGCCACTTGGCACCTTCGGAACTTTTTTTCTAGCCGCCATCGAATTTGCCCCGAACATTCGGTTTTTGCACCACTCCTCCAAACTGTCCCCAGTTCCCCAACTGCTTTCGCATTCACACAAAGTTCAGTAGTTGGCCAAAAGTCACTTGGCATGCATATAAATTGTCAGCCATTAAATTTGCATTGACATTTTGGCCGTGTTTTTTAACCCACCAGCCCAACTCCACCATCCCTTCCACTCCATACCATTCCATTCCAATCCAGACCCTCTGGATTTAGCCGGGTGATTTATCTATGCACTCTTTGATTGCATGGAGCTGCGAGCATTGAGGGCAAATTCTCGACGACTCGACGAGTTTTGTTTGCCATGTTTTGGTGCTTGTTTTTATTGAATTTCCTGAATTAATTTGCCAACATCAGGCTGCAAATAAACAAAAAACTATACAAAAAGTGGTTAAAGAGTATGCTGAACTAAATACCCTTACAAAGTCATAAAAAGTTGTAAGGCGATAAAACATCAGAACTTTGTCGCAAAACTTATTTTTTAGAGCTGTTGCGTTTTTTATAAACCATATTACAAACTTAAATATTTTAGGAAACATTTTTAAAGCATAGTTGTTTTAATAAACAATTAATGCTCTTAATGAATTATTATTATATACTCGAAAGTTTTACTTGACATTCTATATTTTTATTTTATATATTATATATATTTTAAAGCATTTTCATTGATTGCAAATTTTAAATCACAGCAGAGATATCTCCAGAAAGAGTATCCTAAACTATAGGATTTAAGCAAACATCAGAAAAAAGGCAAGAGGGCGAGAAAAAAGTCTGTGGAACGTTGATTAAACTTGGCTTGGCATTGACATGAGTCGAGGAGTTGCATCCACTCCACAGATTCAATCCGGATCCAGATATCTTTTCAGGTTGGTCCAGCAATTAGCCTAATACCCAAGGACCCGGTGGCTTGGCTTTTAGCCATATTGAGTCCACCGTCAGTCGCTTGCCCATGTGTCCCAATCATAATCAAAAAAGGTTCACCCACAACCACCACCACTCGGCTTTCTTTTTTCTTCGGATTTATGTAATCACATTGGACTAAAGGAGCTTGCTTTGGGGGCTTTGACTAAAGGCTTAATTGTGACTCTAGGCATGTGTGTGGGATTGCCATTAGAAGAAATCTCGACCTCTTCTTCAGGTAATCATTTCGTTTGCCAGGACATTTCTTAGTAATTCATTCGATTTGCGGCAAAAACTTCTGACCTAATTTGCTGGTCAGTTTTTGTGGAGAGTTCTTGAGTATAAGTAGACTCTGTGGAATCAGTTGGAATAAGAAATAGGGTTTTGTAAATACATCTTGTACTGCTTAATTATAGAATTGTATAACAGTTTTTATAAATCCAAAAAGAAGTGGATACTCCTATAAATCGCTTTTATTGAATAGGATTATTCTTAGAAACGTTTTCAGTTAATCAAAGCATTGATAGTTTCTAAATGTTGAAAATCAGAGAAGATTTTATGCAAAGGACGTTGCCCTGTCAATTGCAACTGCTTTCAATTTTCGTGTGAATGGGATTTCCCACGCTTCACCTCGTTTCCTTCAGCTTGTTACCTCAAATAGTGACAGCTGCCTGGGGTCAACTAGCCGAAGGTGAAAGCATTCCTGCTAAACGTTATTTACCCGAAAGCGCTTTCAAATGTTTTGCACCAAAGCCGCAACCTTGTCGCCATCTTCTTCCCGCCTTTTCAAGACATTTAAGGTTTAAGGGTGGAGTCTTTGGGGCGCCACTTTTATTTATTGCAACGTTTTTGACAAGCTTTAAAATATCCCCGCTAAACTTTGATCGCGATGGCGATGTGGAAAATATGCTGCCCCCAACGGAACACCTTCCCGTGCAGTGAAAATAAAATATGAAAATGTTTAAATGTTGTTTTTAAAGTTTTTGATTAGGGGTCGTAAAGTTTTAAAATAATTTAACAGTCGCAAACATATTCACTTACAAGTCATTGCAAACTATTAAGCAGCTAAGATTATCTCTAAATACTAAACAAAAGGTCGGGTCTGATGAATTCTGTCATTAATATCAAAGAATAAAATAAATACAAATTGATTAAAAATTTTCTGCCTTTCTTTTTTTAAGTGAAGTTACCCTAATTTTAGTTTTAGTAAAGATTTTCTTTTAATAGTTAACTCTCTTTCATTCTTATTCGGCAGATTTTTTTTTAAGCACTTTTTTAAAACATTTTAACGGTTAGAAGCATAATCTGAAAGTAATGACCTTAAAACTGGGATTTAATATTGTATTTGTGGATAAGTGTAAGTCGGTTGTTAATTTAAAACCTGTTCAGTTTTTGTTGCATTGATTTAGCTTGTTGTGTCTTGTCTTCACTTTTATGTTTTTTTTTTTTTTTTTTTATATAAAAAATATGT